CCCCAAAACCCCAAAACCCCAAAACCCCAAAACCCCTACAAATCCTCCGAAAATTGAATCTTAATAATAAAAAATGACTACAGAAGGATACACTCAAGACAACCTCCATCCCACCACTCCCACTCCTTCAGACTCCTACACAGCTCCTTCTGAACTCCAAATCCTTATTAAATAAGCTCTCAAAAACACTTGAAATCATCAAAAAATACGACAGAATCGCCTCTTCATAGGGTCGCTCATAATCCTGACAGTGCTTCTAATATATTATGCAGGTAAGATTGGAGGGATAAGGATTTAGAGAATGAGTGGGCGCTCACGCAGGGCATGAGCAATTTTGTGAGGACTGTTATTGTGATTTTGTCGTTATAGTGATTGTTATGTTTATCATTTTTAATGCTTGGATTTCGTATCGCTTCTATAAACAGCAAAGGCGTAATGCAAAATCCTGGAAACTCTTGGTAATCACTCGGCTCTCCTTCCACATTATCGTAAACCTCGTCGTCAAACTCCCAGGAATCCACTTCACCAAACCCTCAGTCACCCCTATGTCCAAAAGCCTGTACACCTTCGACACAATCATAATCTTCTGCTCCTTCCTCCGCATGATTTACTGCCTAAACCTCTTCCAAAACTACGACCAACAAGTCAAAGAGTACCATATCTTCAACGTCGACGTCTACCTCGGCAAGCGTGAATTCCTCAAAAGTATCCAGTACAGGTACAGATCGCACAACAAGTTATTCATACTGTGCGTCCTACTGATCCCCTTCTTCTTCCTGTCACTGCTGGTCAAGATAGTAGAGCAGAGCTCTGACTCTGAAGACCAGAGCTTTAATAGTGTTTATAACAGCTATTGGGTGATCATACTTTCTATGACGACTGTAGGATACGGAGATGTGTATCCAGTTACTCAGACAGGCAGGTTCTTTTGCTTGGTCGCCCTCGTGACAGGAAACATCGGTCTGACGCTCCTCACAATGTCATTCCTCAACTCGCTCAAAATGAGTAAGACCCCTTTAGAATTATGAATCTTGTTAGTTTAGTCTAAATTTTAACACCTCTATAGAACAAGGCCAGAAATAACGAGTGAGCAGCCCCTGAAATGTACTTCAAGATGAGGAATAGACAGAAGGTGCTCAAGCCACAAGCTGAAGCTCTGGTTGCTAAGTACCTCTGCCAGACTGCTCTAGTGAGAAAACGTAGAGAGAGGAACCAGGTCTATGAACAAAAGGTAAGACTTGGAAGGGAATTTATAGTTCCGACAAGGCAATGTATGGAACCTTAAGAGAAACTTGAAGTTAGAAAGAGAAGGACATTTTAAAGGACTCTATTTGTTGGAGCCAGGGAGGAGAGGTCTTGTGCCTATGATAAATCAAAGTTCAGAGCGGAATTTAAAGGCAGAAAACGAAGATACTCTTCATAATGATCCTCCAAATTCTTTGACTAAGGATAATCAAGAAGAGCAATATAGCCGAGGATGAGAATTCTGTGCTGCTATTGATATCATTGATGCTTTCCCTAACTTCAAAAGAAGCAGACTCAGAATCATTGGAAAGGAGCAAACACAAGGTATGTTCATAGTTTTTACAATTAATTCTAAAATTCTTACTAAATCTCACCCTTAGAACCAGAAGAGACTCTAAAAATAACAAAGAAGCCCCAAAATATTAAGACAGTGCCAAGCCAGGAGGAGTTCATGGGTGGATTTAAAAGGCGCCAGTCCACAGAATCTAAAGAGGTGTCCAAATTTGAACTGATCAACCGCAATGACAAGCCCTCTGACTAGTCTAAAAAGATTCATAAAATCTCAACAACATGAATCTTATAGGGGTTTTGGGGTTTTGGGGTTTTGGGG